ACAAAATAGCATGCCCAATCCAGCTGTTATTTTGATGGACTACCACTGTCTATCCAAAGCTCATAGTCCAGGCTACAACAACCAGGCGCAAGTGTGTTATACGGGAATTAAGATGATATCATTAGATACTGCAGTTAAAAACATGCACTGATATTATGTCTGACTGTGTTCTGTTACTGCTCCACGTCATTGAAACATTGGCGATCAGACTGGATGCTAAGCTAAGCGAAAATAATCGATATCAGGAAGGCACATTTTACTAAACGGAGGAAGGTTTTAACCAAACAACAAACATAGCAAAAACACAAGCGAAAGCACAGATACTCTACTCACCGACACATGCTTTCGCAGGTTTGACGTCGATCTTTCGACAGCGACGTCTCCGTCAGCCTGAAATGTCACATTTCGCATCGTAAAGTTAATAAAGTTATTCTCTCGTTTGTATTTGAAAATAAAAAAGCTGGCTGACACATGGCCAAACATTTCCTTCGCTTTCCGGGTCATCTGCTCCAGAGGTCCTTGGCAATCCTTAATCTCCGTCATTGGCTAGTCTAGCCAATGACAGGCTAGAGCCTGCCTCTTAGTCAGGTATCTGGCTACTTTAACAACAGTGGGAAATCCGAACGCAGTTTTCTTTCAGTTAACGTAGATTGTTTTTTCCCGCATTTAATTTCTTACTCACTAAAGGGTTACTGTCCATTATAGCGTAGTAAAATACATGAGTCAAAATGTACTTAAGTAAAAATAAAATTTCCTATTCCCGAAATTACTTAATAAAAAAATCATCATGCAATTTTTGGGTCTAAAATGGGCACCCATATGTAGAATTTATGCTAAAAATATGAAAAAAAAAAAGATTATTATGAGATAGTACGACCATGGGCAAAAAAAATTAAAAAATGAATGCAGAGTTCCCAAAATTCCTGAAAGGAAATAAGTACAATATAAGCATAAACAAACACAAAACATAATTGTTTTGTGTTAATTTACCAATAATAAATACAATTCAAGAAAAAAAGTATATGCCGTGAGGCTGAAAATTGTTTAGACAAAGTTTATAAGAAAAAAAGAATCCATGTTATATATTTGAATATTAGAAGTAATAATGTTGTTTTTACTTCACAGCGCTTTGGGGATTGGCATTCTTTAAAGAATGGTTATGGTTTCCCACCAGACAAAACCGATGAGAATGAGACCGCGGTAAGAACAGGATTAAACAGAGAAAAATACAGATTTGTTTAATATTTAGATTAAACTAATATTATTGTTTTTCACATGTATATATGTATATATACACACACGTATACATACATTGTCTTACTTAAAAACTATTTTTTAGTATAGCTTGTTGATTATAATAAACATGTGTCATTTATACATACAGTATTACGGTTATTAGTCAATGACTGCTACAAACTATTTGTTTAAAACAAGCACTTGTTTGTTTTATGTATATATGTATTTGGTTAATATATTTAATCTGTTAGATTTTTTTGTCTTTTAAAAAAATAATAGTTTTGAAAATTTCTTTCCACTGCTGCAGATGAACAACACACTGAACTCTGTTAACAGTACCAACAGTTCTACACCAGAACCTGCTGCTGCAAGTGTAACTGTGGTAAAAAAAAAGAAAATGTATCTGAAATGTGATGTTGAAAATTTCCCAGACAAGCCTAACTATAGCATGACTTTTGCAAATAAAAAATTTAATTAAATGCCGTGATGTCAAATATTGGCCAGAATAAAGTTCAAATGCTATGACCTTTTGCCAAAAAACTACAAAAAAATATAAAAAGAAAGATTTTTGGCCCCTAAAATGGGCATTCATGTGTATAATTCGCTAAAAAAGGCAACGAAAATGTCTCAAAATATCCTTACTATACTATGAATTTTGCAAAAAAGAAAAGGAAAAGATACAAACAAATATTGAAACCCCCGTTTTTTTTTCTTCAGGCTCCAACAAAGGTAGTCACGACCAAAATGCCTGTGGTGAGTAAAACAGAAGAAAAATGACAAATAAGTAAATAAATAAAATGAACATTGATGACAATGAAACAGGTTTTAAAAAGCTGTAAAAATTTGTCAAGTCTGCTGCAGTAAAAAAAAGAGTCATATATTATTGGTTATAATATTGGAATTTTAGAATGAGGAATGTTGTTTTTACTTCACAGCACATAGCAATTTGGCATCCTTTAGATAACGCCGATGGTTTCCCACCAAACGAAACCGATGGGAACGCGACCGCGGTAAGAACAGGATTACCCTAATAATAAAATATTGTTCCACAATCAACTAAAAAAATGTTCATATTCAAATCCAAAAGTATATACAGCAACTAATTATATTATTTTCTCCTCGTTTTCTTTTTGCAGGAAACACACAACTAAAAAAAATGCATCAGAGGCAAACAAGTTGAGGAACTGATGTCAGAGATTGTCAAATAAACATGTTTGACTTCAAATTGTTTTTTGTGAATTTACTTAGCTATAAAATAAAACTTTTAGCCAGTCAATCTTATTACTACTGAGCCAGAGGAATAATGTAGTTTAATTTCTAAAACACTCACATACCAAAGTCTGGTTGGCAGGCCAAATGTGGTACTGCAATGGGTTTTATGTGGTCCATAACTTCTTTTGAAATGTATTTAATTTGCATTTTTATATTCTTGTTACATATACTTTGGACCAATTCCATAGAAGTGTAATGTTTAAAAACCTTTTTAATTTAACAAGAGAAAACTTTTTTACCTGCTAACTAATTCTTCAAAAAATTTGGATTTCACGGCTAGCTTAATGTAGTAAAACGGTCACAATTTAGTCGCTGAATTTTTTTTTTCCAAAAACTAAAAGGATTTCACGGCTAGCTTAATGTAGTAACACGGTCACAATTTAGTGGCTGAATTTTTTTTCCCAAAAACTAAAAACTAAATATCAATTTCACTCGGAGGATTCAGACAGAGACTCAACTCAAGAGGATCACTTTATTTATTATTTTGCGTTAGATTTATCTTCTTCACCTCAGATATTCTCTCTCCACCAGCAGGGGTCAACACTCTCTGACATTGTCAATGGAAAGCATCAAACATAAATGCAGTTCTTTACCTTTCTAAACACAGTCACCAACATCATCGGTATTACCTCTCCTAGGAACAGCGGATTGGTTGGCAGGTAAGAAATCGTATTTACAGCCCAGGACTTGTTGTTAATCTACTGAAATGAAATTATGCACAAAATAGGTTTAACGATGGTTTTATGACGAGGAGATAGAGGAAAAAAACCTCTGACTAGAAGAAAATGTAACATTAGTAGAACAAAAATTTAACTGATGTTCAGGAAAATGGATCTGGATAAGATTCTATCTCCAGTGATTCCTCCCTCTACCAGAAATATAAGAGCAGAAAAAACAAAATGAACCACGGTTAGTATTTGTCATCACCAGGCAAAACTACATCAGCACTACATTCTCAGAACGAAAGAGCCCCCCCCCAATTGCATGTATTTTTTTCTTCCTAAAGTGGTGAGATCCAGAAGCAGACAGGAGCCCCCTTCCTCCCCCGAGACCACAGAGCTAAGTTCTCTTCAGATGACAGAGCAGTTTTTTCCCCTCTTGCAGTAAGGCCACTTTTATAGGAATAGTAAATAAATGATCCAAACCTCTTCCTTTCTTTGTCCATCCAACTCTGCAGGAAAAAAAAAGCTTCAAGTTTTTATTTTGTCGAAGAACCCAGCGTTCAGCTGTCGGGGCTGATGTTTGCCCCATTCACCACCACCGGTAGAAAAAAACAAAAAACAAAACAAGGCTCAGTCCACACATGGTCACCACCAGGTTTGCTGTTGCTGAGGTAGTTTCCTCCACTCCCCAAACTCCTCCAGACGACTGTGTGGGGTTTGTTAAATGTTGCAAAAAAAAAAAAAAAAGGAAAGGAAACAGAGATCGATTTTCACAGAAGTTTGTAAAACCATCCTCTTGGATCCTCTGTGGCCTCATCAAAGCAAAAGTTGAAATCCAGAGAGACATTTTCACGCTCTCTGAGGACAAACCACAAAGGGACATGTGCGCTGTTTTTTTTTCTGCCGTTGCTGCACTTTCGTATGTTTGGGTGTAGGTCGCTGTTGATCCCGATTCCGTGACTCCCTCTCTGAGCAGCCCCTTCAAGATACTGTCCTTCAGATTTGCCGACTTAATTTGTGTTGGTGTAAAATTTTTGAAGGGAGTGTCACTGTGAGTGTGTATGTGTGTGTGTATGTATGTGTGTGTGCGTTGGTTGATGGCGGCAGCGTGAGCTGGGTCAGGACTGCACAGTCCACACAGCTGGAGTTCAGCTTCCTTACAGAAGGGGCCGCACAAGACCCTGCTGGAGGGGCCAGGGGACGGAGGGGGACGGCAGCTCTACTTGTCCCCCAAGATGGCGTACTGGTTATCTAGCTGCAGGTGCTGCATGGCTGCGCCGCTGTTCTCTTCTCTACCGCGGCTCTTGTGTTTCACCACCTCAAAAGTCTTCTCCATCTCTCTGTCTCTGAAAGACACAACATTACAGGAATTAATTAATGACACGCAAAATAACCCACTGCAATTATGCCTTCATCAGCTCCACTTACTTGCGTGTCTCTACATGTTTGGCGGTGGAGAGCAGAGAGGGGAACTGAGCATCACTGAAGATCTCAGGAGGACCCTGGCTGGGACCTCGCTTGGTAGTGGACATCCGAGCCCCTGGAGGGCGATATACACCCGTAGGCTTTGACTCGGGAACCTCAACCTCCTCTGCAGACATAAGAGATAACATTTAGGAGTGTTGAGATCACTAAAAACCTTTTTGTAATGACACAAATGTTTATATGAGATTCAATATGTAAATTTCAAAAATTACAAAAATCTCGATTTCATATTTATACAGAGATACACGCACACATCTGAAGCAACTATTCAGAAACGAACATCCTCACCTATGGGTGCAGCTGGGGCTGGAGCAGCTCCAGACTTGTTCCAGGGCCCCGACACTTTGTCACCACTGACCAGGATAATTTCTCCATCCTCACCAAACTCCTCTTTCTCATACTCCTCTTCCTCCTTCTCATCACTGAAAACACCCAGAGGTTGCGATGAGATTGTCAATGAAATCAACTACAATACTACCCTACAAAGTTATTTAATCAAATTAGCAGCCGATAACTGTAAGACTAAACACAATATTATTTACTTTAGTTCTTGACCTTCATCCGACCACCCATACATACAGTAGGAAATCATCTTTAACATGTAGTGAATTATCTTTGAAGTAATAAAAGACTTTCCTCCAACTAGCATTGGAATGAATTTCCATGTTTTTAAACCAAAACATTAGGCTGTTGTTTTCAGCACATCAGGAATCATTTATGTAAATGATGAAGCATGAAAAGCAGAAATACATTTTAACCTCACCTTATCTGTAAAGCTTGGAGTCTGAGACCACTGTAATCTACTTCTTTCTGCTCAAAGTCTTTCCACTCTTCGTCCTCCTTGACAGAATATTAAAAAGTTGTTAGAAAATCTGAAACTCACAGGTTAGCCAGGTGAAATGTCGTAGATTTTTTTTCCCCAACAACAGTGAGTTGTGTGTAAAACAGTAGTATGTAAACGTAACAGATAACATTAAAATAATAAAAAGATACATCACAAAACAGACATGTGTAGTGAAGTTTTAAATATACCAATACCTTTGTTATTACATTTCTGATACTTATTTGGGGCTATATTGTTTTTGGCACTGGAATTAAACATTTACTATGAGGTTTCTAATTATTAAGAATAATTTACTTACTAAAAATTATAAAGGAAAATAGTAAAACAAACATTGGCAATTCTGTGGCGTTCGTATTTATCCAACTAGCATAAATGTACGTATATGCTATAAATTATAATAACTAAAAATAAGTCCTTTATTCGTCCCACTGGGGGGGATTTTCAACGTGTAACAAAATGAGTGACTTAACACAATAAACGCTACTCCGACTATTTGCGCAAATTTTAGGGCATTAAAAGTTGTAACGCCTGTACAAATGGCGGCTCGGCCTAACAGAAAAGACCACGACACTAAAGGGGAAAATGACAGCTTCTCTGTGCAAACAAACGACTCGTGTCAGTGACACGGTTTGATTCAGATTGCCTTAGGTTTCATACTCATGTCACGACCAGGCTTTTACATTTCGGTCAAATGGAACCAAAACCACTGACATAAAAGCAAAACGTGGGCTAATGGAATTGGTCACTCCTCACTAAGTGTACCATGATGAGCATATGCTAGCTAGGCTAACGAGCCGGCATTACATCTTAATTATATTTAGCGAGGGACTTCCCATGTCACTTGTAATAATTTTAGACAAATATGAGGAAGTAAAATAGCTCTACTGAGATCAGACATTACGTCAATGAAAGACAATGTGACACGGCATCAGCGACTGGAACAAGACACTTGCAAAGTTCCCGAAAAGTCGGACTGCGTACCTTTTCTATCTGTGCCTCCTGATTTTCGTTTTTCGTTGACCTTTCCTTCTCCTTTTTGGTCTTTTTGAGCACAGATGATGTTGGTGCTGGGGCCGCCTCCTTGCCCTTTCCTTTCTCTTTCTTCTTCTTTTTATCCCGCTTTGCGAAAAAATCGTCCAGGCTCTTCTCCGTTACGTCCGCCATTTTCGAGGAGCAGCGTTTAAGCTTTGGAGCTAAACTGGAGCAGTGGCAAATGTGGTGAATTTTCTTTTCACCGCAGCAAAGTAAAGACAGTGGGCTACAGTGACAGTAGTCACAATTTTTTGTAAAACGTTGCCAATTTTACTTTTATATTAAGCTGGTGAAAGAACTTTAACGCGCTTTTCCGTGTAAGCTCGCTATCTTGTCAACCATGCCATGCATAGGCTATTTGACAAATCTGGGCATCACCCGGAAACACTCCAACATTCACCCGGAAAGAAAAGGGGTTGTAATAAAAATGAAAGACAATAAAAGTAAAATTAAGACGTTTCTACTTCCAAAACTGCTATTGCATTACAAGATTTGTTTCCAGTTTAATCGATTTAGTAAACGGCTAATGAATATGTTGAAATTATTAAACTCTTTTTTTTTTAATTCGTAGAGGATTCTGTTCTGCACTCTCATTCATCCGGGACATTGTCACCGGAAATTCAGTCCTGAAGCAACAGTTCAAACTACTGTCGTTTTACATGTACAGTCAAACTATAACATGTGTTTTTGTACTGCGATTTTGTAGAATTTTGTTTTAATTTGTGTTTCACATAATCTTAAAATACCAAAACCACCGAACTTGTTATTACTTACTGTAAAACAACAGGACCTAATAACTTATTGTATACATCAAATGCAACAGAAAAAGAATATTCTAGCTCAAAATATAATTCAACGTGCTGCATTTAATAAGGCTGTTTTCACAGATACTTTATATATAGAAAAAATATATAGTACCATTAGCTTTTCTTCTTGCCTCTAGTATACGTTTCTGAAATGCAAAAAACAAAAACAAACTTTGTTTTATTTTTCTGCACAAGCAAAGTAAGCTTCTATAAGTTATATTTTATGAAAATATTGAGACACGTCTCTTTTTCTTTTTGTTTTATTGCTCAGCAGTAAAAAGTACAGTGTATACTACAGTACAAAAAATACATAATGTTGAACACTGCTCCACCGTGCCACTGAACATTTTGTAAAATATCCACTTTTTGAGCGTGCAAAACAACAAGCCCACCTGTGAGCGTCCAAATGCAGGAAATATCCATATGTTTAAGTGTGTTATTCGCCACCACTGCACGACTCAGTGATTTAAGAACAACATTGCACAATGCAGCAAATCTTTAGCGACAATAAAGGCAG